AACTAGGCCCGTGAGCCACAACTACTGAGCCTGCACATCTGGAGCCTGTGCTCCGCAACAAGAGAGGCTGCGACAGTGAGAGGCCCACACACTGCGATGAAGAGTGGCCCCCGCTTGCCACAACTAGAGAAACCCCTCACACAGCAACGAAGACCCAACACAGCAAAAATAAATAAATTAATTAATAAACTCCTACCCCCAACATCTTCTTAAAAAAAAAAAAAGCTACTACAAACCCGTACAGGAAAGCTATCCAAAGATCACTCATTAAAAAAAATAAATAAAAGAAAGACTGTCCTCCCATTCCACAGATAAAGAGGCAAAAAATATGAAATAATATTTGTACAAGGCTATTCTTTACAGCATGATTTATGATAGCAAAAGACTGAAAATAACCCAACTGTCCATAAAATTCAACTAAGACTGGCTGAATAAATTACAGTAAATCCATACAGTGGAGTATTGTGTAGTTATAAAAAGGAATGAGGAAGATCTTTATACACTTATGAAATCATTTCTGGAATAAATTCCTAAGGTAAAAAAGAAAAAGCATGGAACAAGGTTAAGCTATCTTTTGTGTAAGAAGGCAGAGTATAAATATAAACACACGCATACATATCTACTCACAAAAGAAAGATAAACCAAAAATATTTTTTAAAGGTTTGTTACGGGGAAAGAGGAACAGGGTAGAGATAACAAGAGAATGGATACTAGACTTCAAATGTACTTTGCTTTACAATTTTGATTTTAAAAGCATGTGAATATTTACCATACATTTTTGGACTCAAAAAAAAAAGTAGTCCTTAACAATGGAAAACAAACAGAAATGAGTGAACCTAACTATTTGTCATGTTGGTAGCATAATTACACAAAGAAAAGATAATTTCAAGTGACTTTAAAATACAGAATTTTGACTACCTATACCTAGTGATACCCACTAAAAGAGAATTTTTCATGTCAATTCAGATCATAGGCAAGCTTCTCAAGTGTAGGACATGCCATGTTCATCTTTGACCTCCAAGTGAGTAACACGTATCAATAGTAAGCCTGCAACACCTGTTCAGTAAATGACAGTTGCTTAAACAGAAAGATAAAACTACCCATATTCCCTTATCTACCCCTTAAAAAAATGGTGTGTCATTAGGGTTTTCATATACTTTTCCTCAGAAATGGATGACCTTCAGGCTTCCCTGGTGGCGCAGTGGTTAAGAATCTGCCTGCCAATGCAGGGGACACGGGTTCGAGCCCTGGCCCGGGAAGATCCCACATGCTGTGGAACAACTAAGCCCGTGTGCCCCAACTACTGAGCCTGCACTCTAGAGCCCGCGAGCCACAACTACTGAAGCCCGTGCGCCTAGCGCCCGTGCTCCACAACAAGAGAAGCCACGGCAATGAGAAGCCCACGCACCACAACGAAGAGTAGCCCCCGCTTGCCGCAACTACAGAAAAGCCCACGCGCAGCAACAAAGACCCAACTCAGCCAAAAATAAATAAATAAATTTATTTGAAAAAAAGAAATGGATGACTTTCTTAAAGTTGGAATTATGGCCATTGTTTGATTACAACAGCGTTTCTTAAACTTTTCTCATTATCACCCTCCTAAGGAACATTTTTAGACTTTTTCCTAATTGCCCTCCCATGATATGTTAATATCACAAATATATTGTGTATCTCTCATGTCCTATATGGCATAGCTGTACTTTATATGTAAAGAGTAAACCATATACTTTCCTCCTTCACCTCCTTCAGGGCTTCATTCAAATGCCACCTTCTTAGTGCAGCTTTTCCTGACTAAAAATTTAAAATTTGCATCCCTTTTCCCTTTTTTCATTCCCATCTAATGAACTATGTATCAATATTTTGATATATATATATCCATTCTCTGTATTTTACTTATTATGTTGCTTACTATTTCCTGTGAGTAAGCTCCATGAGGTCAGGGATTGTTGCACATTTTATTTACTGCTATATCCTAATGCCTTCAACAGCGCCTGACACACAGAAGGCACTCATTCAAATACTGAGTAATGGATGAGTGACTGAGTTTCTCTTTCTCAGGGACAAAGCTCTACCACCGTGGGCCATTTTAAACCTCTCTCCATTGGCACCTTCCCATCGGGATTTAAACGCACCAAAGTCTTCACTGTTTTAAAAGGCTTTCTCTTAACTCCATCTCCTCCTGTAGTTACCTTACCTGTTCCCTTCTCCCCAAGACTGCCAAACTTCCTTCAAAAGTCGTCTGTATTTGCTGTCTTCAATTTTTTATCCTTCAGGTTCTTATCAACTACAATCTGCCTTCTGCCTCACCACTGCACTGCAGTTGCTCTCCTCAAGGTCAATGACCATCACTCTGGGGACAAAACCAGTTCTGATCTAAGTTGCCTTCTCTGCAGGCATATTGGAGAGTCACCTAACCCAGATTCGAGGATTAGGGAAGGCTGATGTTGCTGCCAATTCCTATCGAAGGCTGATGTTGCTGCCATTCCTATCGAAGGCTGATGTTGCTGCCAATTCCTATCTTCCTAACATACTCCCTCCCCTTAGCTTTCCTAGTTTTCCCTCTGTTTCTCTCTCCTCCTTTCAGGTCCTCTTCCTCTGCCTCTCTCTTGTAGGGGCCCCTTCACTTCTTACTCTACATATACTTCCTAGGTGATCTCATTAATTTCCCTCTTTTCAATTTCCATCTGTAAGCTGACAGTTTCTATAATCTGAGCTAGAGATGCACATCTGTGCAGAGTCAGACTCCTAAATATCCTTAAATTGATGGGCTTTTCTTCATTCCCACTACTACATCTTATTTCAGGCCATCATCAGGCTGGATTACTTCAACAGCCTCATAACTGATCTCCATGCCTCCAGGCTGGTCCTCTCTAAATCATTCTCCACAATGGTGTCTGATAATCTTTCAAAGATCAAACCCTTTCATGTAACTTCTCAACCCCTTTCTTCCAACCCAGCATTAACAGTAGCATTAAACACTGTAGAGCTTCCCTTCACTCTTCAAATAAAGCCAAAAGTCCTTAACATGAATTACAGTAGCCTTAATAACTTGGCCCCTTGTCTACCTCTCTAGCTTCACCTTTCACCACTCATCCCCTTAAACTCCATGCTCCAGTTAGACTGAATTTCTGTTCTCCTGTGGCAGAAACCAAACCTCTGAAGGTGCTCTTTACCAGGGGCATCTTCTCTCCTCCTCACCTGACCAATGCCTACTTACTTTTTCGTGTCTCACTTCCTCTGGAAAGCCTTCCCTATCCCTTCAAATCTGGGCCAGGTTCTCCTCCCACGAGCCCTGCAAAATACTGCAGGTGGTAAAACCATCTCATCATACAACAGGGCACTGTTATCAGCTGCCCCTTCTGTCCCTTTAGATTATAAAATCCAGACGGGGACTATCCTTTACCTTGCTCACCAATGAATCTCCAACAGTGCTTAGAAGGAAGTCAATTTACTTTTAACAAATGAATGAATGATTACTACAAAAAACCACAAAGAAGCCCAGAATCTTTGGAGCTGATTCTTTCAAAATATGTTTCTTGGGCTTCCCTGGTAGCGCAGTGGTTGGGGGTCGGCCTGCCGATGCAAGGGACACGGGCTCCTGCCCTGGTCCGGGAGGATCCCGCGTGCCGCGGAGCGGCTGGGCCCGTAGGCCATGGCTGCTGGGCCTGCGCGTCCGGAGCCTGTGCTCCGCAACGGAAGAGGCCACAGCAGTGAGAGGCCCGCGTACCGCAAAAAAAAAAAAAACAAAAAACAAAGTATGTTTCTTTAAAGGCAAGTCGAGCTGGTGGAAGAAAGTGCCTACCAGATCATCTGTTTTAAAATATCTGGACAAAGTCTTAATGCTCTGAAAATGTCCACATATCCTAACTGATAACACTTCTAAGGAACTGGACCCTTTAGTGGAAATCAGAATCTATTAAGTAATAGTTTGACCTCGGACCCACTCCTGCCAGCCTATTTTCAGTCAATCTAACAAACAGGTTTTCACAATTACCATTATCTATTTTCTACTGGTTTCTCTTCAGTACCATTATTAAGAGTGCGGAATGTAAAAGCAGTGTCTAGAAAGGCGGGGGGAGGGGGGTCCCTTTAATAAAATCAGAGGCCGTACATGCTATTGTCCACAAAGTACCTCGGCAGCTGCAGAGAGACTTTACCACTACATTTTCTCCCCTTAGAATAGCAAAGAGGTGGCTGACACTCCCTGCGCCTAGAGAAGCAAGTCTGTTATTAACACTAGGACACCCAGCCTCCCCTAGCCCCATTTATCAGGACCCTCCCCACCCGATCCACATCAGCGAGGTCCCCTCGCGGAGCCCCCAGGAGCGATCGGGTCCCTGGTCGCGCGTCACCGCCAACCTCACAGTACAGGAGTTCAGTGCTGGGATCCTGCTGCGCCGCGATCCGGCAGAACACGCACTTGCTACTGTAGTTCTCGAGCTCCGGCGACTCTGCGGCGACGGCGGTGGTCTCCGAAGGGGATCCCAGAGGTTCTGCAGCCGCCGCTGCCTCAGAGTCGGCACATGACTTCTTGAAATCACATTCCTGCTCCTCCGCCATCGCCTCCGCTCCCGCGCCGCTGAGAGCCTCAGGATTCTCAACAGGGCCTACGCAGAGTTAGCCTCCCGCACCTCCTAGATTTTACCTCGAGGCGTCGCCCCTCGCCTGGCGTTGGGGCGGATAGGGAGTTGGGCACGCTCGCTGATCCCGGGCCACGCCAGACCCAAGGCGACTGACTAGCTGCGGAGCCTCAAAGCCAGAGGCTCGCTTGCACGCCGGCTGCCACTAGGGGACGTGCGAGGACGCTACACGGAAGAGTGGTCAGCCGCGGCAGTTGCCCCTCCCTCTGCGTCTCGTTGGTAACTACGCAGGACTTCCGCCAAAACGCAGGCTCGCGCCCCACGTCGCGGTGACGTCACGGGAGCGCCGTGTCCTCGGGGCGGAATGGAACCTGTTGACTGTACTGAACGTCGTTTCCCTGAATCCTGTAATGTAAGGTGCCCCAAGAGTGTATAACGATGTCTTAAAAAAAAGTTTTTAAAGTTTAATTTTTTAAGGTTACGAATTCGTAGGTTTTAAGAGAAAGAACAAAATATCTAGAACTTTGTTTTCAACAAGATCATAGTTGATCCTTTGTGTACGCATTTTCAGCCATGATAATTTTAGGTGCTAAGCTCAAAATGTGAAACTGAATTTCCCATCTGTCTTTAATTGTTGTTGTTGTTAACAGCACCAGCTAGATCAAAACATTGCGCTTTATCTCATTCTTCATACACAGGTAATGCGGAATCCTGTAGTTTATAGTCTGAAATATTCCGGAACTTTACTGCCAGTGGCTCATTATGCCTCACCTGGATCACTGCGATATCCTTCTAACTAGTTTTCCTCCTTGAGTTTTCTGCCACTCAGGTAAAAACCGTGTGTTACCAACTCAGGTGCTTGGACTCTTAGGAGTCTAAGACTAAACTTTTAAAAGGCCTCTCAGGGCCAGGAAAGCCATGCCAAGGGATTATCACAGATTTTGCCTAACAGATTTGGATGAATTCCTCCCTTTTTGAGGTTCCCCCCAAAATACCTTGAAACTCTTGCATTTGTTTGGAGGTGGCCTTCCTTATTTATCGGATAAAGTTTCTGGGAACCTCTGAGTTTCCAATTTCTGGAGGGTTCGGGTAGAGAGAAAATATAAATGTTTCAATTCTACTTAGGGGTGTAATTTACCAAACTGCTATAAATCATAATTAGCTTGAGGGGAAGGGTTTCCTTGTATCTGGAGAACACAGAATGAAAGCCAGTAATATCTCAGGTGAGACCGAAAAATTATAACCATATCCATCAGTTTACTCAATCTCATGTAATTAATAGTTTTATAGAGCCATCTGGTTTACCCAGTTCAGCGGTATGATTTGAAAGTTATCAGAAACTTGTACTTGTCAAAAAGCCCTTTCTATGAATCTTCCTGAAATGAAGCATTTTTGTTTTTTTAAACTTATTTTATTGAAGTATAGTTGATTTACAATGTTGTGTTAATTTCTGCTGCACAGCACAGTGATGCAGTTATGCATGTATGTACATTCTTTTTCATATTCTTTTCCATTATAGTTTGTCACAGGAAATTGAATATAGTTTCCTGTGCTCTACAGTAGGACCTTGTTTATCCATTCTCTTTATAATAGTTTGCATCTGCTAATCCAGAACTCCCAATCCACCCCTCTCCCACTTGGCAACCGCAAGTCTGTTCTCTATGTCTGTAAGTCTGTTCCTGTTTTGTAGATAAGTTCTTTGTGTCAGATTTTAGATTCCACATATAAGTGATATCATATAGTATTTGTCTTTCTCTTTCTGAATTACTTAGTATGATCATCTCTAGTTGCATCCACGTTGCTGCAAATGTCATTATTTCATTCTTTTTTACGGCTGAGTAGTATTCTATTGTATATATGTACCATATCTTCTTTATTCATTCATCTGTCAATGAACATTTAGGTTGTTCCGTGTCTTGGCTGTTGTGAATAGTGCTGCTATGGACATAGGGGGAGGCGCACCTGTCCTGACGATGTCCCTGGTGATACCTGCGATTGCTTCGCTCACTTACCTGTTACTTTCAAAAACTTGCTTCCCATTCCCAAACCTTGGACTTGATATAGTTCCCTACCATGGAAGTGGGAGGAGCAAAACAAAGTATTTAAAATTGTCTGGAGTATATGTCCTGGTGTGGGAACAGGCAAAAATACAGGCACTGTGTGTGCACAGACAGAGCTGCTACCAGGTGGGGTTCTGGATAGCTCCCCTGAGGAATAGCAATTTGCGTTGTGTGACAGTAAACTAATTTTAAATTTTATTTGTGAAATGGAGTGCTCTTTTCTAATTTCAAAAGGGCACCATATGGGCCAGTAGCAACCCTGCTTCAGAGCAGGCTCTGGAGTTAGACAGCTGTACAACTTACCATCTGTGAAGACATGGGCTAAGTTTTTTATCTTTCCCTGAGATATATATATATATATATATATATCTGAAACACTCTGCTGCACACTTGAAACCAACACCTTGTAAATTAACTACACTTCAATAAAAATAACCAATATTGAAAATAATATACAATATGAATGTAAGTCACATTACTGTTATCAGTAGCAAACATTTATTAAGAGCCAACTCTGAACATCATACCATACTAAAACAAGCCTTTATTTGTCTGTGCTTTCCGTATCGCTTACTGATCCATTTCTCTGCTCTCCTTTGCAACCAAACTCCCCCCCAAAAGTTGACTATACTCTTCCGAATCCCTCTCCCCCTCTCCTCTCACACTGTCTCCCATCAAGCTTTCACTGCCATCATCCCGTCCAAACTATGCTGTCAAGTTGACCAATGACCCCCATGTCACCAAATCTAATTGTCTCTTCTCAGTGCTCATCTTTTCAGCAAAAGTTGATTATTATCTTCCTCTTGATAAAACATTTTTTTCCTCTTGTTTTCCAGCACACCACACTTTCAGATTTCCTCCTACTTGATTGGTTGTTCCTTCTGCAGTCTCCTTGGCTGCTTCCACTTCTTCCAAACCTCTCTCATCACTAATGGGCTTTGGTCCTAGGTTTTTCTGTCCCTCCTTCTCTCTCTCCCTCCCACTCACACATAAAAAGCTGTACATATTTAACATATACAATTTGATACTACTCTTCTCTTTAGCTATACTCACTCCTTTGGTGATCTCATGCAGCCCAATATCATCCCATTAGTCAGTGACAGAGCAGAGACCCCAACCCAAGCAGTCTAATGGGAACCTGTGCTCTTAAATCATGGTACTTTGACGTGTACATGTGTTCAGATACGTCTAGTATGAGTCATGTTTATTAAATATACATATGTGAAAAAAAAGAAAAAAATATATACATATGAATTTGTAAGAAAGATACCTGAAAGAATAGATACCAAATATATTTGCATTGTGATCTCTGGATGGGTAAATTATGTCTTGATGTTTTTCTTTTTTTTGGTTTTTCTGTATATTTTACGTCTTCAACAATGAAAATATAGTACTTTTGTCATAAGGAAAACATTTTAACAGATTTTTAAAATTCAGAATTCCAAATAAACTTCATTTCCTTTAATCATTCTCTATTTCATAAATAATCTCATTCCATAAATTTTTGAGTTGTTCAACCCTGATGTCAAGATCCATGAAGCATTTTTAGGCAGATTTCTTGGTGTCTGGGGGAGAGACAGACAGTGGAGCTACTACAACCATATGTCTGATACAGTGCAGTATTTAGTCCATTTTGCAGTGAGGATAGGAAAGTGTGTTGGTGAGTTTGTCTTAATCTCATAAAGTATCATCTCATCAGTAACACCCCTTTTCCACATCCTAAATAGAAATTTCCTGAACACAAATACAAAAACCTTCTCTGGCTTGTATTTAGTAAATAGGAGTAACTTTTTGCTGTTTCACTAGTGTCTCAAGAATTTTAGATTTTTCTGAAGGTGAAAAAAAAGCGTGGACACACTTCCCTCTCCTTGAGAAAAACAGTATAAAAGGAAATACTTAAGGCTAGAGTGGCTGTTGCTTGGTACTAAGTACTGCATAATTTTGGCCTCCATCTGTTGGAGTGAGTGAAATGTCTAACAGGCAAAAGAAGGGGAGGAAGGAGTGCTTGTGTGTGGGAAAGGAGGGAAATTTCCAGTTTCCGATTATTAAACTGCCTTATTTAGAGCTCTCTTGGAAGAAATACTGGCAAGTGGCCCAGAGTCCCGACTTGTGACTGTTTGAGCTTTGCTGAAGTACTTTAAGGGAAGTCCTGATGTGTTGTTCTGAAGTGGAAACTGTGTAAATTATTTGTAATGGAGAGAATGATAAAAGAAAAAAAAATCCCATCTCCTTATAGCAACTTTCCCATTCCTCTGTTTCCCTGGTAAGTTATCTTGTTTACTTACCTACAGAGTATAATGCAGACACTTCTGCTTTTTTTCATAATACTTTCCTGAAAGCCATGTCTTCAAAGCATTGAAAGTAATTTCTACTTTTATCAGAAATAAGATTACACTTAGACTTTGCATTTCTGATAAAGAATTCAGCATAAACAAAGTTTGATGTGACTAACACCTTACCTTTGTCTGGCATTTTGCAATTTTCTAAGGCACTTTCATATATGTAAGTTAATTTGATTCTCATAACAAATCAGAGAAGTAGATTTTATTACCCCTATTGTAGAAATGGAGAAAATGAGACATAGGAAGATGAATCAGCCTACTCACGATCATTTAGTTGGTGGATGATAGAGGGATCCAGACCTTTAGTAGAACCAGACCAGAGGCACTTCTTTTCTCCCTCAAATCAACAGAAAACAGCTACCATGTAAATCAGCCCACCTCCATCATCTTGAAGTTAATGTAAATTTTCTTGTCAAATTCACACCTGTATTTTTTCATAATCTCAAGGCCAATAAATCTCATCTTCACCATTCATTCTTTTTCTTGTTAAAATTTTTTTTTTAGTTTTCTTAACTGATACCCAAAGCGTCTTATGCTTCTTTTTCCCCTAACGTTTTTCCATCTCTGACCTCTGAATCTCTTTCCACTTTAAAAGCCACAGTTTATTTGTAAGCACCCTAATCTGTATCCTCAGCTTCCTCACAGAACCATACCTTCACCTTCTTGCCTTAACTGAAACCTGGCATTCCCCCAAGGATATCACTTCCCTTGAGCATCGACAAACAAAAACTACTTTTTCTCCCCACCTTCCAACATGCTGAGAGAGATTTGGAAGCAGTGTTGGCGTTCTCTAGCTTCTAACTGCCAGTCCAGGTGATCCCATTCCCACCTGTATGCAACTCCCCACCCTCTGCGCCCTTTCGAGTATCATGCTATAGCATGAAGCATAATCACATCGTGCACCAGCTTCTTGGTCACTCCCCCAGATTCACAGAGAGCTTCAGGACCTGGCCCACAAATGCCGCCAGACTCCCGCGTTATCTCAGACAACCTCAGCATCCATGATTCATAGCTTCTCAATCACACAAAGGGATTCCAGTGCCCTTTGCCTCCATTCCTCTTTAGCAGAACTCATTCCTGTGGCAAAATCCTAGCTTGACATTTACCCAGATGCCCTGAAAACCTAAATTTTAGTGACTCTTCACACCTCTGAAAGCACCTGTCCCAGCAACTTCCTGACTTCTTAGTAATTTCTGTTCTTGATCTTTCTTCAATGCTTTCTGTTGCATTCCTACCTTCACTTCCTTCCCTACCCAGCATAAACCCCAAAAGCCCATCATTTCCCAGAATTGCTTCTGGGCACCCACCATGCCCTCCCTCTATTTTTGCTGTACTGCCAACAAACTTGCTATCACCTATGGTTATCTAATTGGTTAAAGACATGGGCTGGGGAGTCAGACTCCCTCAATTTCTACCATTTAGTAGTGATTCCACCTTAGGTAAGTCATTAATTTTTCAGGGCTTCTGTTTCCTCAATTGGGAAATAATAATAGAGTACTTATCTCATGACCATCACAAGTTATTGTAAAGATTAATTGAGATAATATATGTAAAGTGCTTAGGATAGTACCTGATGCATAAGCGCTCAATAAATATTTACTATTTGGATTGGCCAAGAAGTTCATTTGGGTTTTGAAAAACCTGAATGAACTTTTTGGCCAATCCAATATTATTACAAATAAACTGCTTGATGCTGCTTCTAAAAAAAAAATCACATAATCAAATTAATAAGTGCCAATACATGCCTAAATCTGCAAAGCAAAACACAAACATTTTTCACCTCTCTCCCTAGATATTGTCCACTTAAGGGAGATGCTTGAGAAAATACCCTTGTAGGGCCTGAGGACCTCTGATACCATCATGTTATCTATTTGTCCTCCTCATCAAAGGTAGATGGGATTAACAGACTGACTAATGTCTATTATTCTTAAGGTAGTAACAGCAAGGATTTTGTGTGACCGCTTCCCAGAAGACAGACTAGAAGAAGTAGGCATTAGACGTGAATAGACATCTCACAAAGGAGAAAAGATAAATGGCTAAGAAATACATTAACAGATGCTCACCCTCATTAATAGGGAAATACAAATTAGAACTACAATGAAATAACATTGCACATTCTTGAAACTGGCAAAAACTAAGAAATCTAACAATATCAGATGTTGGACAGAATATTCTAATAGGCATGTAAATGGTACAATCACTTTGTGAAACATTGAGGGGTTATCTTGTAAAGCCAAATACATACTCCGTGGACCAGCTGTTCCATCCCAGTGAAGCTCTTTCTCATGGGCCTCAGGACAATGGTTAGAGCCAGACAAAACTGCAGGCAACTCTGTGCACTGACAGGAGAATGGATTAAATAGTGGTACATTCGTACATTCACACAGAAGAATATTAACCCCACACACAAATGAAATATAGCAGCAATAACAACATGGAAGAATCTTAGAAACAATGTTGAAGGGAAAAGAAAAAAGCACATCTCTAACAAGTAAATGTATATATTGAATAGTATAATGACATTTTACATATATTAATCCATTTAATTCTAACATCTCTTTGAGGAAGGTAGTATTGCTTTCATTTTACAGATGAGGAACCTGAGGCACAGAGAGTTTAAGTATTGATAACTTGCTGATAAGTGGAGGTTCCAGGATCTAGTTGACATTTACTTTATGCTTACACAGTACCACACACTTGCCTAGATTATTATTTTATAAAAAATGCTCCACATAAAATGTCCTTGATTTTTCTGCCTGATTTAATCTTTCTTCCAAAATCAACACAATGAGTTAGAACTGGGGAATCCAGTTTATCATATCCCTTTGCACTCTTTCAACCTTATCACAAAAGTGCAGGCTCACTGGATAGTTTGATCTTCCTTGAATGGTCTTCTGAGCTATTTTCCAGATTTCACATGTGGAAACAGAATGTGACTCACTTTCAATGCCCTAAATTAGCCCTGAGGCCCTGGAACTTCCCTTCAGTCTATGCTTTTCAGAATGCCGGTAACCAAGAGATCTGAAAATGAAGGAATTCGTTTCCCAGGAAGCATCCGCACACACCCCACCACCACCACCCTACCCCCCAGAAATCTCTTCCTCAGTCTTTACTTAATACCCCTAAGACCCAAAGGACAGAACTTGAGCAGCTAGAGGAAGGATCATTTCTTCCTGCCTCACAGTCTTAAGAATAATGCTTGTAAATTTGTGACTAAGCACTATATAGCAGGAAGGGGAGGAGAGCCAGGAATCCAGAACCTTTGTTTTATTCCCAAGTTCTTCTGCTTAGCTGTGCAATGTTGGGCAAATTCAAATTCTCTGGAGTTCATTTCCTTTAGTTATGCACTTTGCTCAGACTTGACAAACATTTATCGAACGACTCCTAGGTGCCTTGCACCCTGCCAAGCACTGGGGCTATAGGGATGCGTAAGACCTCGTTAGCTACAGAGGACCTCCCAGCCATTAAAGAGCTGTCTTTCCAGAGTGGAAAAGTAGGGATCTTGGTGCCTGAGCTGGTTAAGCAGAGTGTGGGTAGCCTTGTGGTGGAGATGTTGTAGAGGCTACACAATGGTCAGTATACTGTTGTGGTTAAGAGCTCAGCTCTGGGGTCAGTCATAACTATAGATATCCTGGCTTTAACCCTCATGAACTCTGTGACTTCAGGCAAGTTACCTAACCTGAAGAATCAGTTTACTCATCTCTAACACAGAGATAATAATTAAACTATATTCGATTTGAGGATCAAATATGATAAATGCATATAAAAAGGAGGGTGAAAGTCATGATAAATAAATGTTACCTGTCTTCCTCATTCTCCTCTTCATATTATTATTGTTAATACATCATTTATTGCTCAGCAAGGTGTTGTTGCAGGGTTTGGAGATTTAGAAGTCGTCCATCAATCTTGCTCAGCTCTAGCTAACTCACTGGAGGATGGTACTTTAGATGGATATTCAGATCTTGTCCCAAGGCCTTTCCTGAAGATGTTGACATGTGTTAATGGGATGATTACAGGCCAGTGAAAAGTGAAGTTGACCTTGGAGGAGGTTCTTCTAAATGTTCTGAAGTATGAGGGATGGTGTAATTAAGCATAGAGTAAGCATAGAGTAAGCATGCATTTT